CCCCCCGGCACCTCGTTGTCGGAGGTGGTCCCTTCGACCATCCCACCCGTTGGTCACCCTCCAAGGAGACCGTAAGAGGTTACGGTCGATCTCTCCACGCCAGGGATGAGGCACACTTTGACAGTTCGTGGGGCAAGTCCCATCATGTGGAGTCCCATCACTTTGGAGGTGAACGGCTCCTTGTCTCCCACAGCTCCTCCAGTCCAGCCAAGCCCTTGCCCACAGGGCTGGAATCAGAGAATCATAGAATGGTTAGGGTTGGAAGGGACCTTAAAGATCATCTAGTTCCAACCCCCTGCCATGGGCAGGGACACCTCCCACCAGAGCAGGTTGCTCAAAGCCCCATCCAGCCTGGCCTTGAACACCTCCAGGGATGGGGCATCCACAGCTTCTCTGGGCAACCTGTTCCAGTGTCTCATAGTAAAAAATTTCTTCCTAAGATCTAATCTGAATCTTTTTTCTTCCAATTTAAAACCGTTTCCCCTTGTCCTATCATTACCCTTCCTGGCAAAGAGTCCCTCCCCAGCTCTTCTATAGGCACCCTTCAGGTATTGAAAGGCCGCTATAAGGTCTCCCCGGAGCCTCCTCTTCTCCAGGCTGAAGAAACTCCAGGAACTACACCCGCTACACCAACTACTTGTACCGTGCAGGAGGTCCCTCTCCCACACACTACCTCTGCACCTCCCTTCCAAGAGTTTTGCTCCAGACCTCACCGCTCCCAGCTTTGACAGTGTGGGCAAGTGGGGGCCTTCCCCCTGGCCAGCTCTGTCAGCCCTCCTGTTTGGGTGAAAAGTTTGGGCCATCTTGTTTGATGCAAAGTTCACACTGGAATGTGTTGGGACCATTTCTGTTTAACATCTTCATTGACGATCTTGATAAGGACATGGAGGGTATCATCAGTAAGTTCGCAGATGACACCAAGTTAAGCGGGAGTGTTGATCTGCATGAGGATAGGGAGGCTCTACAGAGATAGGTTGGATTGATGGGCCAACATTAATGGTATGAACTTCATCAAGGCCAAGTACCAGGTCCTGCACTTGGGCCACAACAGCCCCATGCATCAGTACAGGCTTGGGGAAGTGTGGCTGGAAAGCTGCCTGGAGGAAAAGGACTTGGGGGTTCTAATTGACAAGTGGCTGAATATGAGCTGGCAGTGTGCCCAGGTGGCCAAGAAAGCCAACGGCATCCTGGCTTGTATTAGAAATAGTGTGACCAGCAGAAGGAGGGAGGTGATTATGCCCCTGTACTCAGTATTGGTGAGGCCACACCTGGAGTATTGTGTCCAGTTTTGGGCACCTCAATCCAAGAGAGATATCGAGGTGCTGGAGCGAGTGCAGAGGAGGGCAACGAAACTAGTGAAGGGCCTGGAGAACAAATCGTACGACGAGCGATTGAAGGAGCTGGGACTGTTCAGTTTGAGGAAGAGGAGACTGAGGGGTGACCTCATCGCTCCCTACAACTACTTGAAAGGACATTGTAGAGAGGTTGGTGCTGGTCTCTTCTCCCAGGTAATTAGTGATAGAACAAGAGGGAATGGCTTCAAGCTACAACAGAGTAGGTTTAAACTGAACATGAGGAGAGTTTTTCACAGAAAGAGTGGTCAGACACTGGAATAGGCTGCCCAGGGAGGTGGTTGAGTCACCATCCTTGGATGAGTTTAAGAGTTGTTTAGATGCGGTACTGAGGGATATGGTGTAGGGGAGAACTTTGTAGAGGAAGGTAGATGGTTGGACTCAATGATCCCAAGGGTCTTTTCCAACTTAAATGATTCTATGAATCAACAACAGTTTGCACCGGTGAAACGAAATGTTATGGGGTCAGGGTCTTTTTGGAGAGAATTTGACTGTTTTCAAGCCTGGGGTTGCCTCAGAGCAATACCTTTTGCTGAGTGATCCTAGATAGCACAGAGGCCACTCCTGCTTAGCTGTAAGCAGCCTGAGTCTCCCCTGAAACGGACAGGAAAACTTTTCACCCTGTTTCCCATGACAACTCCCGTACACGGGCTTCGTTCCCTTCCCCGGGGCTGCTGAGCATCTGCTGCCCTCCAGACGCACTGACAAGAAAAGGGATGGCGAGGGAGGGAAGGAGCCCCGCGCGTTACACATCTCCCTTCCAGAAGCCTGGGAAGCTGCTTCATTAAACATTGGGCCAGTTCATTTTGTTTCTATGGAAACAAAATTATTACTAATATATTATTTTAAAAACAGACACACGATTGACACTCCAAATATAGAATTTTAATACCGTTCTGCGCCTGCCTGGTCTCTTAGGGCAGCGCGGATGCGAGGGTGGAGTTCACAAAGGGGACGGGGGACTGGCGAGGGTGCCAGGTGGCGGTGACAGCGGTGGGTGTGTTTGTAACCTGAGAGCAGGCACAGGCTGTCTGTCTGTCTGTCTGTCTGTCCGTTGTTCTGTCGGTCGGGCGCTCCCTTCTGCAGGTCTGTCCCACTTCTTTCCCCCCTCCCCACCACCAGCGTGGGGTGCCGCGTTTCCTGCCTGCTGGCGAGAAAGATGAGAATGCAAATTAGTGATCGGGTCCCGGGATAAAGGGAACACTCGGAAGTTTTATTTAAAAATCGGTGATGGCACTGAACGTTGGGTGCTGTCTCTCATAGTTTGGGATCCTGGAAGGTCTGTGCCTCACAGGCCTCAAGGGTCCTTTCGCGCGGCGCCTGCTCTCCGTCCTGCAGATGCCAGGCTTCGTTGCCAGCCAAGGAGCAGCGCCGCGGCCGGTCGGCGTTCTCCTCCTCTCTGCTGCCAAGGGAGAGGCGGCGCTCGCGGCGTGATGCGAGTGGGATACGGGAATGCCACGGGCTGCAGGCTGGGGTGGGTTGAGGTGTCTCGTCGATGAACGTAGTGATCTCATCTCGGAAGAAGCAGGCGCTGGAGCTGGAGCCCCGGGGCAACAGCCCCCCTTCCAAAAACTGCCGTAGGGTGGTCAGCTCATCTTCTGGGGGCCGCCGGCGGTGCTGGTAGTCATGCAGCTGAGGAGGCAAGAAGCCAGGGCCTCCAGGCTTGCGGGGGGTGGAAATGCGGATGTCGTCAGATGAAGACCACTTGTGTAGGAAGGATGGAGCGGAGCGGTGGGCGGAGAAGATGTTAGTCTCATCATGTGACATTCTCCGGGAGATAGGGACCTGGAAAACAGAGAAGGAGGCAGGTGATGGAAGACTTGAAGAGACAGAACAGGAAGGGAGTAGCTGAGGTTTTCTCAGAGAAGAGAGTCAAGAGGACATAAAAGCATGGGAGACTGGCAGAGAAGGAAGTGGGTTGTGTGGCTGCCCCTGCTAGCTCTTGGCTCACCTGCAGGTAGTGCACCTTGTCCTGGGGCAACAACATGTGGTGCATGGGTAGCAGCTTGATGTCCCGGGAGTCCCGCTTCACAGCTGCAGCGCCGTTTGCATCAAATCTCACTTTGCAGATCCTGCCATCGCCATAATCATCGCACACACCATCTGTTGGCAAAGAGGAGAACGGCAGTCAACACTTTTCAGCCAGGAGAGGAGTGTTATCAGGGCACCTGGACGCCATCCTAACGCTTGTCTGACTTCTGCCCGCCCTACTTGCAGCCCTCAGGGCTCACCTCTGAACAAGGACCTCGTCTTTGTGCTTGCAGCAGCACTAAAGCACCCAGAGACTGCCCTGTTTCTTCTGTCTCGCTTTTGTATTGCTCTCTGCCAGGACTTGGACCTTTGGATCAGCGAGTTGGGCCGAGGCCCAGCGTGTCACTGTTGTTGTGGTTTGGCAGCTGTACACATCATCTCTGCTCTTGCATCTACCATGAAGGATGTTGCACTAATTTTTCCTGGATGCCAGCGAGTCCTAAGGCAGCGAGTGAGTGGCAGAGCCTTCTCCAGAAGAAATTTCCTCGTGGCTGCTGACTCCAAGCTGTAACATGAATCCCACCTAGCCACCCACACCACCACTCAGGTTCTTTTCCCAAGCCAAGCCAGACCCCTCTTTCCCCTGTAGTCTTTTAGGGAGGGGGTTAATGAAGAAAAGTGACTGTGGGGTGGTGAGGAGCTTACCATCATCCCCATCTTCCTCAGACATGATAGCCACGCACTGCTCCCACACGGTGCGGAGATCTGCTCGGTAGCGCTCGCAGGACCAGATGAAGGAGGGGAGCAGCAGGGTCTGCACCATGGAGCACCAGAGCACAGCCAGGACCATCCAGGTGGGGGCCGTATCGTAGCGCAGGCTAAAAAAGCTCACGACCTTCGAGGTAAGAGGAGAAACGATGCCGAGAGAAAAGACAGAAATGAAGATCAAGGGAGAAAGACAATGGGAGTCAATTCTGTAGTACAACCCAAACCTGTCTGTAAAGGATTCATCAAGTAATCACCCTTTGAAGAACTTTTCCTGAGGTGTTGCCCCCAGATTTGCCGGACCATATTCTGAGCTGTCAGATCTCAAATGTGACACCTGCTCTAAGGGTCCCTTCTTCCCTGTGCTCATTATGAGCTGGAGCTAAATAGGTGCTAACAAAGGACACAGCCACTGGAAAAAAAAAAAAAAAAGCAGTGACTAAGCCTCTGTTCTCTTAATGGTTCCCTTTGAGAACTTCCCCAGCTCTCCAATTTTGCAGAAAATCAACCAGCCAGACAAAACCTGAATGCTGACAACGACCATACAAGTAGAAGGAAAAAGAAAACTGTCTGCAGCAGCTTTTTAAAAGCTGGTGTATCGGTTCCCCAGAAGCAAATCGGAGAAACAGAGATCTCATTGTTTTTACAGAAGTTTGCAGAATAATTTCCTCTCCTCTTAGCCACTTAAAACTCTCACAGCGGTTTTAGCTGTGTGGTGTGTATCCCCCAGCCACTTAAA